ATATTCCTTTGAGTATATATCCAATAATGGGATTGCTGAGTCAAATGGTAGTTCTGCATTGAGTTCTTTAAAAAAAATCACCAAATTGTTTTCCACAGTGGCTGAACTGATTTACATTCCCACCAGCAGTGGATAAGCATTCCCCCTTTCTTCACAATCTTGCCAGCATCTATTAGTTTTTGACTTTTTTTTTTTTTTTTTTGAGATAGAGTCTCACAATTGTCACCCGGACTAGAGTGCAATGGTGTGGTCTCCGCTCACTGCAAGTTCTGCTTCCTGGGTTCCAGCAATTCTTCTACTTCAGCCTCCAGAGTAGCTGAGATTACAGGCACCTGTCACCACACCCAGCTAAGTTTTGTGTTTTTAGTAGAGACGGGGTTTCACCACATTGGCCAGGCTGGTCTCAAACTCCTGACCTAAGGTGATCCACCTGCCTCAGCCTCCCAAAGTGCTGGGATTACAGGCATGAGCCACCGTGCCCAGCCTAGTTCTTGACTTTTTAATAAGTCATTCTGACTGGTGTGAGATGGTATTTCATTGTGGTTTTGATTTGCAATTCTCTAATGATCCGTGATGAGTATTTTTTTCACACACTTGTTGGCCATGTGTATACATTCTTTTGATAGTGTCTGTTTATGCCTTTGCCCACTTTTTAATGGAGTTGTTTGGTTTTTCCTCATAAATTTAAGTGCCTTATAGATCCTGGATATTAGACCTTTGTTGGATGCATAGTTTGCAGATATTTTCTCCCATTTTATAGGTTGCCTGTTTACTCAGTTGATTGTTTCTTTTGTTGTGCAGAAGCTCTTTAATTAGGTCACATTTGTCAATTTTTGATTTTGTTGCAATTGCTTTTGGCCTCTTCATCATGAAATCTTTGCCAGGGTCTATGTTCAGAATGGTATTTCATTGGTTTTCTCCTAGAGTTTTTATAGTTTTAGATCTTACATTTAAGTGTTTAATCCATCTTGATTTTTGTATATGGTGTAAGGAAGGAGTTTCAATCTTCTGAATATGGCTGGCCAGTTATCCCAGCACCATTTCTTGATAAGACAGTCCTTTCCCCATTGCTTGTTTTTGTCAGCTTTGTCAAAGATCAGATGGTTGTAGGTGGCAGTTTTATTTTTGAACTCTCTATTCTGTTCCATTGGTCTACATGTTTGTTAAGTTTGTTTCAGGAAGATTTAGAGGGCCAGAGCTTAGCTCAGTATTCCTAGTTTGCCTGCTCTAACTCCAGGGCTGCTGGTACCAGGCCCCCAGCTTTGTTCTCTGGCCTCAGGACCTTAGGAAACTGCTGCACAGGAGGGGCCCAGGTGTTCCTCCTCTGCCAGCCACAGCATTCTAATGGGAAGTGCTGACCAGTGCCTTTCCTCAGGCGGTGGCATAACATAGCAGGATCTATGCTAGCTTGAGTGTGGCAGCAGCAGCCATGGTGGGGCAGGGTAGCCAGGTGCTGGCGGCAGTGAGGCACTGGATTCTGTACACACCTTCATGAAGGCTACATTGGCATGTCAGAGTGCTGTACATTGACGGTGGCAGGGTGTGCTGATGCCAGCGGTGATGGAGAGACAGGGTGCATGCACACACACATGCCAGTGGGAGGGAGGAGGTAAACTCACCTGAACTTGCAGACCAGCAAAGCAGTGGAGAGGACCTTGGGTTAGTGCATGATGGCAAAGCGAGGTTGGGGGAGGCTGCAGGGGAGTGGAGGCTGTAGGTAGGCATTGTGCATCCATGATGACTGGTCAGTGGGAGCTCTCTGATGTTTAGGCATGGTCTGCTAGTGAAGGAGCTATGAGGAGTGTCCCCAGGAAGCACCCTGGTTGGTCATGTGAGGCTGTGCCACAAGCAAACACACCAGGCTGGGGCCCCAGGAGATGCTGGCAGATGGGGATACTCAGATCAGACTGGTCGCATCCTGTGGACAAGACTGCCCTACTCTGTCCAGGTCCTACAGTTACCCAAAGGCTAAAGCTACCTACAATAGTATGGCAAGCCTTGGAGGATGGGCATCCCTGGCCATCCTGCTCCACCTATATTTTAAACTATTTTGTCTTTCAGCAGATTTTTTTTACTTAATATATGACATGTTATTTTTTTCCAGAAAATCATTTATTTTTTAAGTTTAAATCTTTTTTTCAAGTTGAGATAATAGGACACATGAGAAGTGCTGGAAATGTTTTTATAGCACTATGAAATGTATTTCATGATTATGAATTGTTTCACCTGAAAAAGATTCTGAACATAAGAGATATAAATTTTCAAAGTTAAACTCTCATTATTGAAAAGTCAAGTTTCCATCTTCCCACTATAGGTCTGCTTTTGAAAGCAATGCAGGTAGAACACTTTAGTTTTGTTGCCTCAGTCCCCAAAACCTGTATTGATAAGCACTAGTCTTTTATTAACTAATAATAAGTTTATTATTAACTAATAATTTTTTGAAAAGACTGTAAATATGTACTGAATGTAAAGATTTAGAAATATATATATTTTTAACAGCTATAGCAAAATGTAGGGAAGCTATATGCTTACAGCTACATACATGCTGATATTTTTTAAATTGGACTGATAGTTGACAGTTGTGTCAGATGAGAGCACTGGGAAGCAGATATTCAGACAGAATAAAGAGGTCAAACATCAGGGGGTAATGACTAAGAAAGGAAGGCAGGGAAGAAGCAGGATTGTGCAGAGATAGTCTCAGTCTTCAATGCAGATATGACAGAAGTTCTCACAATGGGGAGTTCTGGAGCAAAGATTGTCTATTATGAAAATCTTGTGTTGGGCTATTTTGCCCAGACATTGGCTGGGGCTGCTTGAAAAGATGGTGGCCTCAGCGTGAAAGCTGAAGCATATTCTAAAGGTGTTGTAGTTGAGGACTATCAGCTAACTTACACTCCTCGCATTGTAACAGCTGGTTCTTTGTTCAAGGAGACCTGAGCAGAGGACCTTCAGGGCTGCCGCAATGGTGATGATAATAGTTATCATTGAGTAATTCCTGCTCTCCAGACACCATAGGTTCTCTTTGCATATATTATTTGTAACCCTTGCATCACAGTCCCTAGCGATACAATAACCTTCATTGTTCAAATAGGAAAATTAAAAGATAGCCAGTAAGTTAGAGGCTGATGTGTTTTTATTGTAAATACACTCAGAAATATTTCTGACAAAAATTTTCCTAATAAACTATTCCATATTATGTCTTGTACCAATAATCAGTTTAAGAGATTTTAAGCCAGAAGGGAAAGAAAGAATGAAAATAAGTTTCGCCGGGCGCGGTGGCTCAAGTCTGTAATCCCAGCACTTTGGGAGGCTGAGGCGGGTGGATCACGAGGTCAAGAGATCAAGACCATCCTGGTCAACATGGTGAAACCCCGTCTCTACTAAAAATACAAAAAATTAGCTGGGCATGGTGGCACGTGCCTGTAATCCCAGCTACTGAGGAGGCTGAGGCAGGAGAATTGCCTGAACCCAGGAGACGGAGGTTGCGGTGAGCCGAGATTGCGCCATTGCACTCCAGCCTGGGTAACAAAAGCGAGACTCCGTCTCAAAAAAAAAAAAAAAAAAAGAAAATAAGTTTCCAGACTTGAGATCTTATAATAGACACCTATTCAAAAAGAGCATTTATCAGAAGGAAATGGTTGTTTCATGGAATCTAAAGGTTGAAAAGACAGCTGATTTCCAGAAATAAAGCTGCCTGTCCCTGTCTAACTATCACTTACTTTCTGCTCTACCTTTCTTCCTATTTCTTTGCTGTTGCTATCCCAGATTTTCTCTCTTTCGCAGTCTCAAGCTCAGTCTCTTTTTCTTGGTCTCTGTCTTGATTTCTCTCACTGTCCTTCTCATCAATCTCTCTTTCTCAATCTCTGTTTACAATCTGTGTTGGTCTCTGTCTTCTCTCTCTCTCTTTTTTCCCCTCTCCTTCTCTTAGTCTTCTTTTTCTCTCCTTCTCTTTTGCTTTTCATTCTCCCTCTCCTTTTCTCTACCTCTTCCCTCATCTCCTCTCCCTTCCCCTCTCCTCCCTTCCTCCCTCTCTCTCTTTTGGTCTCTCCCTTCCTCGTTTTCTTTCACTTTCTTTAGATCTTGGATTTTGTCTGTTTCTCTCCTTACTCTTTCATTCTTTCTTGCTTTGTCTGCCTGCCTCTTTGTATCTGCAAGAAGTAGAAAATGAGCCTACATCCTACTTTATAATTTCTTTAATTTTGATGTTCCATAAATGAAAGTATCTATATACATTTAAACATATATTTTAAGCCAATTATCCTTGCTACATATGTTTGCACAGCTTCAGAAATAACTTATAATCTCTTTCCACAAAAAGTACAGTAATATACTAAGAATTAAATGCTGAAAGTAAAATATCTTTCTTAGCAGATAACAAAGATAACCAAGGTACCATTTCCTAACTCAACACTCTAATTAGCTTTTCTTCCTAAATTAACCAAAATTTCAACCAAGGTATTCGCATATAGTTGCTATGCCATATAGAGTTCTCTTCGACATTGTTTGATCTAGCTCAAGTGAGAAAATTCTTTAGTTTCCTGTGAGTTAGTTTAAAATTTAATAAACAGGGCCAGATGTGGTGACTCATGCCTGTAATCCCAGCACTTTGGGAGGCTGAGGCAGGTGGATCACGAGGTCAGGAGTTCGAGATCAGCCTGGCCAATATGGTGAAACCCTGTCTCTACTAACAATACAAAAATTAGCTGGGCATGAGGGCATGTGCCTGTAATCCCAGCTACTTGGGAGGCTGAGGCAGGAGAATTGCTTGAACCCGGGGAGTGGAGTTTGCCATGAGCTGAGATCACGCCACTGCACTCCAGCCTGGGCAACAGAGCATGACTCTGTCTCAAAAAAAAAAAAAGGAAAAATTTAATAAAAAGATTAAGGATTTTTTTGTATTACATATTATGATGTAGTCAACTAACTTTAAATTGTAGTTTTGCTATACTAAAGTAGTTTATTTCTGCTGTCTCATCTCTATTTTATAAAAATATTTATAGAAAACAAATTCTAGTACTTCTGATAAGAAAAAGAGAGGCCTTTTAACAAGTACTCCATCTTCAGAGACAACTGGTTTTGTGGTAAGCATTAGCATTTGGCACTTATAGTATCTATTTTTTGGCTCCTTCTCTGCCCATTATTCTGTTTTTCTCATATCAGGGGTATATTGCCTATAGAGAATAATATCTGTGTTTTTCTGTTCCTAAAGCACACTTTCTTTTTTTTTTTTTTTAGACGGAGTTTCGCTCTTGTTACCCAGGCTGGAGTGCAATGGCGCGATCTCGGCTCACCGCAACCTCCGCCTCCTGGGTTCAGGCAATTCTCCTGCCTCAGCCTCCCGAGTAGCTGGGATTACAGGCACGCGCCACCATGCCCAGCTAATGTTTTGTATTTTTAGTAGAGACGGGGTTTCACCATGTTGACCAGGATGGTCTTGATCTCTTGACCTCGTGATCCACCCGCCTTGGCCTCCCACAGTGCTGGGATTACAGGCTTGAGCCACCGTGCCCGGCCTCATGTTTAAGTCTTGAGTTAATTTTTGTACAATGTGTAAGGAAAGGGTCCAGTTTCAGCTTTTTTTTTTTAGACGGAGTTTCTCTCTTGTTACCCAGGCTGGGATTACAGGCACGCGCCACCATGCCCAGCTAATGTTTTGTATTTTTAGTAGAGACGGGGTTTCACCATGTTGACCAGGATGGTCTTGATCTCTTGACCTCGTGATCCACCCGCCTTGGCCTCCCACAGTGCTGGGATTACAGGCTTGAGCCACCGCGCCCGGCCAAGCACACTTTCAATGGAAGTACTCTGTATACTCCTATACATGCAAGAGAGAAGGAGAGATTAGAGTACTGCAGCAACAACCAGGATTCTTCTTTATTTTCCCTTCAGTTTAAAAAATTGTGGTGAAACATACACAACATAAAATTTATAATTTTAACCATTTTTAAGTGTACAGTTGAAGTACATTCATTCATGTTGTTATGTAACCATCACCACTCTTACTCTCTAGAAGTTTTTTCATCTTGCAAAACTGAAATTTCATATTCATTGAACAGTAACTTCCTACTCCTCCCTACCCCAGCCCCTGGAAATTACCATTTTACTCTCTGTTTCTATGAATTTGATTATGCTAGGTACCTCATATAAGTAGAACCATACAGTATTTGTCCTTTGTATTTAGCTTATGTCACTAGCATGGCATCTTCAGGTTCATCTATGTTACAACTTGCATCAGAATTTTATTTTTAAGGATGAATCGATATTCCATTATATGTGTATGACACATTTTGTTTATCCATGTTTTAGCAAGTATCAGTACTGCATTTCTTTTTTTATGACCAATGTATTAGTCTGTGTTTTTGGTTGTCTTGACTATACACAGTCATCCCTCAGTATCCCTGGGGGATTGGTTTCAGGACTTCTCAAAGATACCAAAATATGTGGATGCTACAGTTCCTGATATAAAATGGCATGGTATTGTTTTTTTCATGTAACCTATGTGCATCCTGTATACCTTAAATCATCTCTAAATCAATTGGTCATCTTTTTTGAAATTTTGAATTTGGTACAGAAATATGTGATTTCAATAACCTGACAGAAAAATGGATATGGTGCTTAGGAGAGAGTTCTGTGTTAGAGACAGTGATTTTAAAAATCTTTGTTGTTCAAATGGTAGGCAAGAACATAAGGGAAGAATGCTGGGAAGTTTACATTTAAAAGAAGAGCAGGGGAAATATAGGAAGCATGGTTGCTGGATAGATAAATTTCATTTAGTAGGCACTTGATAAATGTTTGGATGGCTGAATAGAAAAAAACATGTTTCATAGCAAACAAAAATTCCTTATTAAAAAATAACTTTAAAGTGAAAGAACGTTATAACCCTCTTTACTGATTGATTTGTCTCTAAACATGCACCTTTTGAAGAGTTATTTCCAAATGTCAATAATTATGTTTATTCATATGAAATTGTTTCTGTGTCAAGTTTATGGGAAAATGCTTCCAATGATATGGTATTTTAAAACTTTTCTTTAATTACTTAAAAATCATTGCTTTTGCAATATTTAACTTCTACAAAAGAATAATGTATTCTTTTATAGGTTGATTTGTCTTCAGTGCAAAAAGCATCTTGTGAAGAACTGTTCCCAAATGTCAGCAATTATGTTAATTCAAATGAAATTGTTCCTATGTTAAGTTTGCGGGAAAATTCTTCAAATGAGGTAGTATTTTCTATTTTTCCTTGGATTACTAAAGAAAACAATTACTGTTACATTAGATACTTTGCATATGAGGTGCTTTAAGAAATCTCTTAACTCATCAGATACGTAATTTGCTAATATTTTCTCCTATTCTGCAGGTTACCTTTATATACTTTGGTTAGGGTCTTTGATGTCCATGAAGGACAATTTGTCCGTTTTTTCTTTTGTTGCCCATTCCCTTGGTGCCCTATGCAAGAAATCATTGTAAAATCAAATGTCTGAAGCTTTTGCCTTATATTTTCTTTTCTTTCTTTTTTTTTTTTAGACAGTCTCACTCTGTCCTCCTTGCTGGAGTGGCAAGGTGCAGTCAAGCCTCACAGGCTCACTGCAGCCTTGACTTCCAGGACTCAGCTTATCTTCCCATAGCAGCCTCTCGAGTAGCTATGACTACAGGTGTAAGCCACCATGCCCAGCTAATTTTTTATATTTTTTTGTAGAGGCAGTGTTTTGTCATGGTGTCCAGGCTACTGTCCTGTATTCTCTTCAAATGTTTTTTGTTTTAGGTCTTGCATTTAGGTTATTGATCCATTTTTGAGTTAATTTTTGTGTATTGTGTTAGGTAAGGGTCCAATTTCATTCTTTTGCATGTGAATATCCAGTTTTCTCAGCATAATTTGTTGAAGAGACCATCCTTTCCCCCAGTGGATGCTTGCGCACCCTTGCCAAAAGTCATTTAACCATACATATGAGGGTTTATTTCTGAGCTCTCTATTCCATTGATTTATATGTCTGTCTTTATGTTAGTACCATATGGCTTTGATTACTGAAGCTCTGTGCATTTTGAAATCAGGAAGTGTGAGCCCTCCAGCTTTGTTCTTCTTTTTCATTATTGTTTTTAGTATTCAGTATCCCTGGAGATTCCATGTGAATTTTAAGATGGGTTTTTCTGTTTCTGCAAAAAAGAAAAATCATTGGGTTTTTGATAGAGATTGAATGGAATCTGTAGATCACCCTGGGTAGTAATGGCATCTTAACAGTATTACATCTTCCAATCCATAAACATGGGATGTGTTTTCATTTATTTATGTCTTCTTTAATTTATTTCACCAATGTTTTGTAGTTTTCACTGTGTAGATCTTTGACTTATTTGGTTAATTCCTAAATATTCTTTTGGATGCTATTATGAATTGAATTGTAATTTATTATCAGATTGCTCGTTGTTAATATGTAGAAATTCACCTGGTTTTTGTGTTTTGACTTTGCATCCTGCTAATTTGCTGAATTCATTTATTCTAACAATTTTTAATTCAATCTTTAGGGTTACCATAATGATAACATGTTATCTGTGAACAGAAATAATTTTACTTCTTGCTTTACAATTTGGATGCCTTTTGTTTCTTTTTCTTGCCTAATTGCTCTGGCTAGAACTATCAGTAGTATGTTGAAAATGCAGACATCCTTGCCTTTTTCATCGTCTTAGAGGAAAAGCTTTACATCTTTCACCACTGAATGTGATATTTACTGTGGGGTTTTCATATATGGCCATATTAGTTTTTTCACATTGCTATAAAGAAATACTTGAGATTGGATTATTTATTTATTTATTTATTTATTATAATTTTATTTATATTTTTATTTTATTTTTTTATTGCATTTTAGATTTTGGGGTACATGTGAAGAACATGCAAGATTGTTGCATAGGTACACACATGGCTGTGTGATTTGCTGCCTTCCTCCCCTTCATCTATATCTGGCATTTCTCCCCATGCTATCTCTCCCCAACTCCCCACCCCCTGCTGAACCTCCCCTATTTCCCCCAGCAGACCCCAGTGTGTAGTGCTCCCCTCCCTGTGTCCATGTGTTCTCATTGTTCAACACCCACCTATGAGTGAGAACATGCAGTGTTTGATTTTCTGCTCCTGTGTCACTTTGCTGAGAATGATGGTTTCCAGGTTCATCCATGTCCCCACAAAGGACATGAACTCATCGTTTTTGAAGGCTGCATAATATTCCATGGTGTATATATGCCACATTTTCCCTGTCCAGTCTATCATCGATGGGCATTTGGGTTGGTTCCAGGTCTTTGCTATTGTAAACTGTGCTGCAATGAACATTCGTGTGCACGTGTCCTTATAGTAGAACGATTTATAATACTTTTGTTGTATACCCAGTAATGGGATTGCTGGGTGAAATAGAATTTCTATTTCTAGGTCCTTGAGGAATCGCCACACTGTCTTCCACAATGGTTGAACTAATTTACACTCCCACCAACAGTGTAAAAGTGTTCCTATTTCTCCATATCCTCTCCAGCATCTGTTGTCTCCAGATTTTTTAATGATCACCATTCTAACTGGCATGAGATGGTATCTCAATGTGGTTTTGATTTGCATTTCTGTAATGATCAGTGATGATGAGCATTTTTTCATATGTTTGTTGGCCTCACGTATGTCTTCTTTTGTAAAGTGTCTGTTCATATCCTTTGCCCACTTTTGAATGGGCTTGTTTGTTTTTTTCTTGTAAATCTGTTTTAGTTCTTTGCAAATTCTGGATATCAGCCCTTTGTCACATGCATAAACTGCAAAAACTTTTTCCCATTCTGTTGGTTGCCAATTCACTCTAATGACTGTTTCTTTTGCCGTGCAGAAGCTGTGGAGTTTGATTAGGTCCCATTTGTCTGTTTTGGCTTTTGTTGCCAATGCTTTTGGTGTTTTGGTCATGAAGTCCTTGCCTACGCCTATGTCCTGAATGGTTTTGCTTAGATTTTCTTCTAGGGTTTTTATGGTGTTAGGTCTTATGTTTAAGTCTTTAAACCATCTGGAGTTAATTTTAGTGTAAGGTGTCAGGAAGGGGTCCAGTTTCTGCTTTCTGTACATGGCTAGCCAGTTTTCCCAACACCATTTATTAAACAGGGAATCCTTTCCCCATTGCTTGTTTTTGTCAGGTTTGTCAAAGATCGGATGGTCATAGATATGTTGTGTGGCCTCCAAGGCCTCTGTTCTGTTCCATTGGTCTATATCTTTGTTTTGGTACCAGTACCATGCTGTTTTGATTACTGTAGCCTTGTAGTATAGTTTGAAGTCCAGTAGTGTGATGCCTCCCATTTTGTTCTTTTTGCTTAGAATTGACTTGGCTATGCAGGCTCTCTTTTGGTTCCATATGAAGTTTAAGGTGTTTTTTTCCAGTTCTGTGAAGAAGGTCATTGGTAGCTTGATGGGGATAGCGTTGAATCTGTAAATTACTTTGGGCAGTATGGCCATTTTCACGATATTGATTTTTCCTAATCTTGAACATGGAATGTTTTTCCGTCTGTTTCTGTCCTCTCTTATTTTGTTGAGCAGTGGCTTGTAGTTCTCCTTGAAGAGGTCCTTTATGTTCCTTGTTAGTTGTATTCCTAGGTATTTAATTCTCTTTGTAGCAATTGTGAATGGCAGTTCGTTCTTGATTTGGCTCTCTTTAAGTCTGTTATTGGTGTATAGGAATGCCTGTGATTTTTGCACATTGATTTTGTATCCTGAGACTTTGCTGAAGTTGTTTATCAGTTTCAGGAGATTTTGGGCTGAGACGATGGGGTCTTCTAGATATACAATCATGTCGTCTGCAAATAGAGACAATTTGACTTCCTCCTTTCCTATTTGAATACTCTTTATTTCTTTTTTTTTTTTTTTTTTTTGCCTGATTGCTCTGGCTAGAACTTCCAGTACTATATTGAATAGGAGTGGTGAGAGAAGGCATCCTTGTCTAGTGCCAGATTTCAAAGTGAATGCTTCCAGTTTTTGCCTATACAGTATGATATTGGCTTTTGGTTTGTCATAAATAGCTTTTATTATTTTGAGATACGTTCCATCAATACCTAGCTTATTGAGGGTTTTTAGCATAAAGGGCTGTTGAATTTTGTCAAAGGCCTTCTCTGCATCAATTGAGATAATTTGTGGTTTTTGTCTTTGGTTCTGTTTATGTGGTGAATTACGTTTATAGACTTGCGTATGATGAAACAGTCTTGCATCCCCGGGATGAATCCTACTTGATCATGGTGGATAAGCTTTTTGATGTGCTGTTGCAATCGGCTTGCCAGCATTTTATTGAAGATATTTGCATCTATGTTCATTATGGATATTGGCCTGAAGTTTTCTTTTCTTGTTGAGTCTCTGCTGGGTTTTGGTATCAGGATTATGTTGGTCTCATAAAATGATATGGGAAGGATTCCCTCTTTTTGGATTATTTGTAATAGTTTCAGAAGGAATGGTACCAGCTCCTCTTTTTATGTCTGGTAGAATTCGGCTATGAACCCATCCGGACCTGGGCTTTTTTTGGGTGGTAGGCTCTTAAGTGCTGCCTCAACTGTAGACCTTGTTATTGGTCTATTCAAGGTTTCTACTTCTTCCTGGTTTAGGCTTGGGAGGATGCAAGTGTCCAGGAATTTATTCATTTCTTCCGGGTTTACTAGTTTATGTGCATAGAGTTGTTGGTAATACTCTCTGATGATGGTTTGAATTTTGTGGAATCTGTGGTGATATCTCCTTTATTGTTTTTTATTGCATCTATTTCGTTATTCTCTATTTACTTTTTTATTAATCTGGCTAGTGGTCTGTATATATTATTGATCTTTTCAAAAAACCAGCTCCTGGATTTATTGATTTTTTAAAGGGCTTTTTGTATCTCTGTCTCCTTCAGTGCTGCTCTGATCTTAATTATTTCTTGTCTTCTGCTAGGTTTTGAGTTTTTTTGATCTTGCTCCTCTAGCTCTTTCAATTTTGATGATAGGCTGTCCATTTTAGGTCTCTCCTTGCTTCTCATGTGGACATTTATTGCTATATATTTTCCTCTAGAGACTGCTTTAAATGTCTCCCAGAGATTCTGGTATGTTGTGTCTTCGTTCTCGTTGGTTTCAAAGAACATCTTTATTTCTGCCCTCATTTCATTGTTTATCCAGGCAACATTCAAGAGCCGGTTGTTCAGTTTCTATGAAGCTGTGTGGTTCTGAGTTAGATTCTGAATTTTGAGTTCTAACTTGATTGCACTGT